AAAATAAATCTATACTTAGTTTTAGAATAATTTTTAAAATAACACAAAGTTACGTTCATTAATTCATTAATAGTTGTGATTTATTAACTAGTTTGTGTTTATTTACTCAAATTTAGTAAAATTCCTTCCACGTTTATGTAATAAATGTTTTCTAAATGGGGCATTTAATTAGCAGGAATTTGCGAAAAACTGTTTGAAAACGAAGTGAATGGGGCACGTGCTTATCGTCGACATTTTAATTAATTGCTTTTTAGAATCTATACTTAGAGGGGACGACGGACGTTGCGTCACTCCTACGTATATATACCTATATATATTTACTACGAATGCGCTTTGTAACCAGGTTCTCATTCTCACTGCACATGCAATTTATGTGGGCGCTATAAATAAGATAATTTCTTATCTTTTTACGTTCTGATTTTATTTTGAATTATAAAAATCTAGAATATTCCGGAATAATTTAACATTTAAATATTACTATTTAAATTAAAAAGAAAGGAATGTAGATTTTGCTCGTGTATATTTTTACTACAATTCGTTTTCTGGCAAACGCCAGTGAAGTGTTTAAATAATTTAAATAAAAACAAGACGTACATTAAAATTAGTTTTCCTGTTGTTCTACATACTACAAGAAAAGTTGACTGAAAGCCAACTAAAACCATTTTATCAACGTTACAATGCAAGAGATTGTGACTCACAATCATCATTAATCACTTTAAAAATTTTTTTCTTGATTTTTTCTTAAAGGTTATTCGTGTAGTTCTCTCATAACACCTATAGTTTTGATATTTTGACGTATTTATATCTGCGGCGGATTAGATATCTGTTTTCAATATCGCGTTATCGATTGCCCTCGTTATCAATTGTATATCTCGATCGTTCTACATTGGTGCGATACTCGATATTATCTAGCGCAAAAATCAAAATAAATACAATTACCGGCGCGTGTACGACCGTGCTTTAAGATTAAAAAAAAAAGTTATGTTGCTGGCGAAACATTTGGTAGAAGGTCATTCGTTATCTAGTAGACGAAACGTGTTTGCACAAGGATTTTGATTCTTATGTGACACCAAATTAAAGCAAAAAGAAAATTTTAAAAAATCTTTTATCTTCAATAACCAACTTACAATAATAACCAGATTTTGAACTAATTTTAATAGCGGTGAAACAAAGATTCTAGATCTAAAACGCAAAAAAAATATGATAAAGTTATTTATGTGTGATAATAACTACCAGGTTTGATAAAAGTGATTATGAAAACGAGTCTGGTTCACAAACATATGTACATATTCGGGTTATGGTGAATTGATCACATATAATCGTACAGCAAATATTTGTTGCTGTATACATTTTTAGAGAATTAATTTTTCAGAGCTATAATAAATGGTGATTAACACATTCATATTAGATAAATAAAATAATTAATTTATTTTATTGTTCAGTGACTGTAATATGACAGTTTGATAAACTAAAACGGCCGCTCCCCTCCGTAAATGACAATGTAACTAGTAAATAAGATCAATTACTATGAAATAAATAAATAAATTTACCGTGAGAGATGTCATAAAAGAGATTATCGAAATTTTTAGAGACTCAAATTATTAAGCATGTTCGCTTTGCAGTAAACATTTAATTACGATTTCAAAAGTATTATTGCTACATATACATCATCTCTCTGCTCATTTAGAAACACCTCGCCAAAAAACATATTTACTTTATCTGAAATCATTACTATAAAGCCATTAAAAGCAACATGAACAGTAAAAGAAGGCGACTTAAGCATTCTTTCTAATGGTTCGGAGCAAACGATATTAATTCGAGTATTGACACATAAGAAAATAATAATAAATCCACGTTATCATTATAAAAGTGAACAATGCTATATTTAAGATGCTAACAAATCGAGATGTACAGATACTGCAAAAAAGTATACCAAACACTGATTTCTCTGAGCACTGACTAGTAGCGACGATGATTACGATACTTTACTATTAATATCAACTTATTGATAACGGAAACACAAAGAAAAACATTTCAAGTAAAACCATATCTGATTGTTGGATTTGAATCTAAAACCACGTTGGATTTGGAAGCGCGGCAAAATTTGATTAATATTTAAAAGAATATGGATAAAGTGACGTCACATGTTGACGCATGTGATTTTATCAATAAAAAATAAGACGCAACAGCTCATCAACACTAACAAAACTGAACTTGAAAATTATCAGTCGTTAATTTATTATTCTATCAATCAATCAATTTATTTCTATGACCACAAATATAATCATGATGCAAGCATAACATAATTAACTTACCTAATCGATAGCGTTAATGTGCATAGAAAGCAAAGCCGGGTTTTGTAGGCGTTACAGATTTCGTGTGATATGTAATGATAATCTTTACAATGTTTCACTAAATTAACTTTCGGTTTTAGGTTTTAGATATAATAACCCTATCTTGCGTATTCTGAATATGGCCTCAATGAGGGAAAGCTATATTTACAATCTATATTTATAGCAAAAGAAAGAAAACTTTGTCTAGCCCAAGTTTAAGGAGAAAAGATTCTTCGAAAATTAGGTTATCATGCTGACAAGGTGAACCTCTACGTCTCGTTCCGGATGGTTTTAATTATCCCCTTCGTGATTCTTATTTAACTCTACGTTAACTTCTTGTTACCACAAACCACCATGGATTAGATCATTTGATGTATTGCGTCATCCTTTGATTTATCTTCCATAAAATTATTTTGATTCTTATTGAAGAATTTGTGGCTACAAGGAACTGTTCAAAGATTTTACCTATATTTGATAAGATGATATTGGCTTGGCGATTTCTTTCCTAATCCCCTTTTTAAAAACAGATTACCACGACTCTCTTGAAGTGATCAAGATGTGTAGGTAGCGATTCAAACCCAACAAATTTTTCTTATTTGATTTTATTTGGTTTCTGTACCAAATATGTACTTCTTTCACGATTTCCTATATTTGCACCAGTAGGGTATTTACAAATCCTTTGCCATTTATATTTCAGCAGAGATTTGATTTTCCAAATATGTGTTATGTTGAAATGTGTGTATCAACATATACAGTGTGTCCCAGGATAGATGTTACAAGAGGTATAATGACTTAAAAATGTTTGAATTTTATTTCAAGGCTGAGGAATTAAGCCCTGCTTGGTGTGGAGAGAATTTTAAGTATATTTTCATATTTTGAAAATCAACTCGGCCTTGATAATGAAGCGAAAACTATTTTGAGTTCAGGTAAAGTAAGCTTTTTGTTCATGATACGGCAAAATATCATCAAGAAAAGTTATTCAGAATGAGAAATTATGGCACTATGCAAAATATCAGAAAGATCTACCTCGATTAATTAAACCACCATATTTCAGATTAGATCAGAGTGAAGAAGAAAAAAACAATGAAAAATGCCATGAAAAAAAAAATGACTTAAGTAGTCGCAAATATTGACAAATAAATTGTATTATCCCTCAGTTTTAGTTCACATTTCAATTACTATACAATATTTATGTTATTTAAACTAAAATGTGATGGTTCAACCAAAGTAGATAGATCCTTCTGAAATTTTGTATAGGACCATAATTTCTCATTTTGAACAACTTTTCTAAATAAAATTTTTCAGTATCATGAACAAAAAGATTACTTTACCTAAACTAAAAATAGTTTTCGATTCATTGTCAAGACCGCCTTTGTTTACAAAATATGAAAATATTCTTAAAATTCTCTTCACACCAAGCAGGGCTTAATTTTCCTTAGCCTTAAAATAAATTTCAAAAATTTTTAAGTCATTATACCTCTTGTAACATCTATCCAGGGACACACTGTATGTGGTACCTAGGTATCATATTAGTATCAGCAGAGTTCCGATATAGTCTGTTAATATAAATAACAGTCACGTGTTCTGCAGTGCATTTATCTCCAATATTACTGGACTTACATACTTGATATTTGGCAGACCCAACACTGTGATTCCAGATTTACCATAAATGAATTTCAAATTTATTGTTTTAGACAAATATCTAAAGTTGTACTTAATAGTTTATTAGATAATTGTAATTTTGAAAGAATATAATATGAAAAAAGTTCTTTGTTCTTCTTTGATTTTTTTTGCAGCCGTTTGGAGTACTAAAAATTAAAAAAGAGGTTCCAAAATCATAAGGTTTAACATGAAATTAATTGTGTAATTGTGCTTTATGATCAGGTTATGCAATCTGATAGCGTTTGACGGCCAAACAACTTCTAATTAATGTTTGGGAACGGGAATATTTTATGGAAAACAATTTGGGAGCACGTTCAGAATCTCATTGAATTTTCCCAACATACCGTTACAAATCGATGAGGCTTATTAGACAGTTTCTTCTGTTTGTTACCACTAAGCTGTTTCTTCTTGGACTTATTTCTTTTGCGATTTCATTTCTCTATATAACAATAACTTATTACCCAAAAATCTGAAATCTTCCAACCTTTTTTAAAATAGAAATGAAATCAACGACTTACTCCTTGGAACTTAGGGAAAGGAAACGAACCAACTGACGCGACGGCGGAGGCCGATGCGTTTGAATGTGTGTGTGTGTTGTAACGGTTAGCGGAACACGCGTCGTGACATAAGTAATTACGGGCCGACGTGCTAATGGTATTTTTCCTTCGTCTCCTTATTATTCGCGGCCGGCTTTTTCTCTCTCTCCTCCCTCTTTTCGTGTCGTTTTTGCCATCGTTGTCGTCGTCGACTTTCGTATCTCCACTCTGATCTCTCCCGCAATTACCTTCGTCGCGATCGAGGCCCGCGCATAAATTTGCAACTCGATGCCGCAAATTAATTACTATTATACTGACCGTAAATTGAGGTTATAATTAATATTACAATCTATAAATTATTTTCATTAAGTCAAATCTTAAAAAAATTATGATCTCGTAATTCTTTTTACATTTATTGTTAGTGTGCAACATTTTAAACCATTTACTGAGTTTATATATTTTGTTCCAGAATTATTGAAGATGCGACGCCATCACCAACTACAACAAATCCTTACTCAAACTGTTTATCACCTTCAAGTTCTCCATCGCCACTGTTATCCCAACAGTATTCGATGCATTTAACACCACGATACGATTATCAGGATCAAGAGTTGATACCTGCCTCGCAAGTTCTACCTCAGGCTTTACCGAAATCGGCGGCCGATTCAATGTGGGAAATGAATCATCAGAATATGTACTCCGATTATCGCGTTTATGAAAGTCCACGTTACACGAACGAGTACATGCGAACGCCGAATTTTGCGGAATCGCTTCCGGTTTATGCGCAGAATCGAAACAATTTCGTTCCTAAGATTGCCGGCGGTCAACAGCAGAAAGTTCCTAAGGAGGCAAGGATTCGAAGACCGATGAACGCCTTTATGGTTTGGGCGAAAAATGAAAGGAAGAAGTTGGCGGATGAGAATCCAGATTTACATAACGCTGATCTTAGTAAAATGTTAGGTAAGTTACGAAAAGTTTATTCATTTCATTTTTTTTTTGAAAAGTTTTTTAAATAAAAGGTGGCAAAAACCAGGTAGTAACAGTCAAGATAAAGACAGCAAACAATGAATTGGGGTAATTGTGTTTATCACAAGGAAATATTTGGTTTAGCAACTGAGGTGCATTGATAAGAATGTTTTAGTTAAAAAAATCGTTAAATTTAAATGCTTGGGTTTTTTCGGGAAATTCTCTAATTTATATACGGTTTAATTAACCGTGTTAATTTTAGCTGAGGAGTAATTAAAAACTTATATAATAACGTACTTTACGTCATCATACTTTCCTATGTACAACTAACAAAAAAAATAATAATATTAAAAATAATTCTTACAACTCAATCAAAGAGAACAATTCAGTTTGTTATTCTCAATTTCCCTCATTTTAATTATCCTTAAAAGGTTATAGGATGCGATTTCGAACCATTCAAGACACAAACCCAGCAGGATTTTAACGATCGATTCGGTTACGGTTCAAGCTGAATCTTTTTTTATTTTTTTGCTTTGATCCAACGGCTACGAAATTTTTATCGAGAGCAAGAGAGTTACATCTCCATCGATCCGACCATAAACCGCTTTATAAATATTACAGCAGAGTGCGGCCGCTGAATTTATAAATTCCTAAATGGGGTTTGCGAGGACCTCAGGTTCTCGTCTCCTACGGGAAAAACTGGACTCATTTTGCTTTCGCCGCCCCGTTTGGGTTAATTAATTTATAACATCCAGTCGTCGCGTCGTCGAGGGAAAATTAAATGCGAGAAGGTCTTTAATTTATCGACCCCGAAAGAAAGAAACTACGAGCCAAGAAATATTTATGAGGATATCCTTAAAAACATTGATTGTCGTTCGGTTGTTTGTTGCGTAAGTTGTTGGTTATTACGTCGTTTTTTTGAAGAAAAAGAAATTGTTGATGATGATGTTTTAGATCCGTGTTGAAGTGAATGTTAATTTATTTCTTTTATACAAAATGTGTTTAAATTAGATAGATTAGTCAGAGTGTTGTATGCAAATCTATTTAGTTATTTCCTGTTAAGAATGGTAAATTAATATTTTTTAATTTGTTTAATGAAAGCGGTTGTCGGTGTCTCGAATAAGAGGTAAAGAAGTAACATAATCACCTGATGTAAAAGTTTTTACGATCGAGCAAATAATTTTAACCCACGACGCCTATTGTACGAAGTATATCGATCGAGAAAACTGAGAAGGCGAAAATTTACAACCGAGACTAAATTTTATCGCGTCAATGTGCGCAAATCGACTATATCGGTTAAAACTTTTTCACAATCGATAAAAAAAAATTGATTTAGAGGTTAATTTAAAGAGACCGGACGCAACAACAGTGGATTTTGCGTTATGTAAACGACCCCAGCAACATCCTGATTTTAATAATGAACGGGCAACGCGTCGATGGAGCCCGTCGATGTAGGATCGGCCGTTTTTGAGGTGCGCCCGGGGGCGCGCCCTGTCAATCAGCGGGGTCAATAGGGCCTCCTAACAACGACAATACTCTCGACGCTTCGAGGCTTTTTCACAGCAACATCAGAATTTTATTGTTGATGAATAAATTTTCTAATCGTCGATCAAAGTCCTAATTAGTCTTTGTCCTTTTCAAATACCCAACCTTTTTTTAAATATTTCTTGACGTTCCATTAAAATTATATGTCAATGATAATGATGTAAATTATGTAAATTATTTCAATTCAGTTACTCAACGAAAATTTTAAGAAATGTTATTGGGAAAATACTGCTTATGTAATTTTAAATAATAATTATTTCAAACATTTTTTGATATATATGATAACCTCAATAATTAACATTAATCATCAACAATATATACTACTCTCTATATATTACTCAAAGTGATTTTCTTATCGACGAATTATACAGAAAAAGTATCATCTTATGTTGTGCATACATATGGCATCATATGATTGGGTCAAACATTATAATTTCAAAAATGTTCATGTGAACTCAATCGTGTTTTGGGAAATCCTTTGCAACACTGGTACGATATTCTTGTACATATAGAAAATTGAAATCTAAAGCTGTAAAAGAATACGAAAACAAGGAAAAGTGTCAGCTGAGTGTAATCCAGCTTTTATTGCAAAGTTTATGATGATCTGGATTGTATTTACTCAGTTCTTCGATTCAACTACTTTCTGTGATTAAGCTAATCCTGAGGAACGTATACTTCCAAAATCTAACGTATTTCCTGCAATCGATGAAGGAGGGAATATTTTAACCAATAACGCATCAATATGTCTCTCATCTATTCAAAACCGTTGCAACCTTTAGGCGTTGATTACGCTACATTATTTCAGCTCAATAATTATCAAGAACGGAATATTAAAACTTATATATGTTATCTAATTGTATCCCAATCAACTAAACTCATTGCCTCTTGCAAATTCTTTACTGATTACCGACTATAAACATCATCAAACATTCTCTGACGCGGCTCTGAAGTTGATGCACATTTGGGCAGATAACAATCCTCTTGAGTTCCATCAGATACAAATATACCCAGAAAAAGTTATTGTTTAAAGTGAATTTTGGATCAGAACGGTCATTGTTCCTTACGTCTTTGAAAATTTTTATCGATGATGACCAATTTTTATGTTGTAAATTGCGAAGTATGGGGATGGAGAGAACAAGGATTGCTGGAGAATGTACAAACAAGGTATTGAAGATGGGTACTAGGATTGGCGAGGGTGACTCCAGGGTATATTGTAAGGGAAGAGGTTAAGGTGGATGCAGTAAGCGTGGAAGCTGAGAGAAGAGCAGTAAAGTACGAGAAAAGGCTAGAAAGAAGATCGCATTGCAGGATCCTGGGTGAGTACTGGAGAGAAATCAAGGAGAGAAGGTTGATATATGGGCAGTGAGAGTGTGATATTCACTAAGTGAGATCGACAAGAGAAGAGTGGAAAGAGGTGAAGATGTGAGGCGAGGTATGGAGAGACCTGAGGGATAGGGACAGGGACATACAGAGGCAGGAGATACGAGATGGGAGATATAATGTACGGTATGGGCAGATAGTGACAGAGGAACTGCCAAAGTATCTGTTGATGGAAGGGGATGAGGAAGGGAAGAGATTGGTGGCCAGATTCCGCTGTGGCAATGAGGGGAGAGGGAATAGGTACTGGGGGGAAGATACGGAAAGGTGGTGTAGGCTGTGTGGAGAGGATTGGGAAACGCTGGAACAATTGTTGAAAGGGTGTAGTGATCTGAGGGAGGAGGCGACGGCCAGGAGGCAGATTTTCGGAGAGCGACGTGAGGGCAAGAGATAGCTGACTGAGGTGATTGGGACGAGGAGCAGGGGTAGACAGTATATTGTATATAGAGGGTATATTGTACTGTATATATTTGATTGGATAGAATATTGTAAGTAAATTGTAGACAATAGAACGCATGTTGGACTATAAACCTTTACTGAACTATAAATTGAACGGCATAATTGTTTACCATCGTGGCGATATCAATTAATCGGCTTTCTTTTGAGATGTTACCTAATCAGAAAGCGAAAACACTTAATAACGTCATATTAAACTTCAGTGAGTTTAGGAAATTACATTTGAGCTTCAATACGTAGCTTATTCAACCGCGATCTATAACTTACATTACTTTTTTTACATTTCCATACTACTGGTCATCATTATTTTTCAACAGTTTGAATAAGTTTTTTGACAACTAATTTTGCATATGAATTTTTTAACCAGCTAACTCTGAATAAAATTTCAAAGTATTAAGTTTCAATCAGAAATTCATCTGGCAAAGATGTCTAAAAATCTTGTTATAATTCTTAATGATTAGTCCTTGAAGTACTTTTTAGTTATATGTCCTTGAACATTATCTAGATTGTTTTAGAAGATTTAGATCTGTCCTGATCAAGATTTAACGGTTGTGGTGCTTCACATGGCAGAAAATTCATCATTAAGGTGTAGCCAAAGTACTTTTCCACTTATCGGTTATAAATCCTTGAAAGTTTCTGGATTATTGTGCATAAAGAAGGCGGTTTGGTCCTAATCTAAATCTTAACAGTTGCAGCAGAGTGGCTGCGTTGTTTCACTTGGAAAAAAGTTTCACCACTATTAAGGTGCAGCCGAGGTAGTTTTAACTTAATCATTATAAGTCCTTGATTGTTTCTGGATATTTTTACGCATACGTTTTTTCCGTATTTAAACACTTCCTTATTGAGCTATAAATTTATCAAGAAGATATTGTTTTAACTTTTGTGTCTTGATTAATTAATCGAAAAAAATTTCATTGAAGACTATATCTGCAATATTACACAGAAAGGGAATCTACTTTCCGCTAGATGTCATTACTAGACTCCAAACAAAGCATTTATTAACTAATTACTAATTGCTATACGCAGTTAAGGTGTTTTTCGATTAAATAATTTTATCAAAATATCGTTATACTGTTTAGTTTTTTTTCCCACTCAATCTGTAAAAATTTAAAAAATAATCTCTTGAAGTACTTTGTGGGTGGGGTGTAGTAGGTGTGAAATTAATATTTATGTGCGCGAAATACTTTTGCCCCGTACATCATCGCGGATCGGGACCTCGCGAGACGTATAATTACGGGCCGACTTCGGGCCGAAGAAACGACACCGATTTGAATAAATTATACGCGGCCGCGATCGACGCCTCGACGCGAGAACCGACGTTTTTTTTATTTCTTTTACACCGTCGGACGCCCTCGGATTCAAATTGAAATATCGACGCGATTTGAAGTGTTTATTAGTTTATCGTCATCGACACGTGCAGTAAATCGATTCAATTCTCAAAAATTCTTTAACACAGTAAGGAAGTAATCAAGAGGAAAATTTAGATGTTTAAACCTATAAATTGAAAATAAATTGGTTTACAAACTAAGTAATCAACATTTATCAATTAACACCTTGTTAAAATTGCATTCAATATCGTAATTAAATTAATGTTCCGTTTCATGTTTCAAAATGGA